TAATTCACTGGTGCGAGTCATCCTGGCACAACTGAGGAACTCCAGCACAACTTCGCCCAGGAGAGCACTGCGCAGGAAAAAGCAGCTGAAGAAAACCAAGACAGTCCTGATACCCTAATAAGGAACAAGAGGGCCCGACGGACCACTGCTGAGCAACACTGCACGCATGATGTTCGGCTGCTTGAGGCGCCTGGCTGGCCCTCGAACTCTAACCACCTCGAGACATGTAACCCTACAGCAGGGAGTGATAACCCAGCCTGCCCGAGTAAGCTCCCCCAAATGGCGTCTCGTACATGACCCGTCTCCAAACATATCCCCTTGAATCGCAGTGGCAGGGTCTCCTGCCTGATCGCCAACCCACTCGACCACGATGCCTCTTGAACTAGCTGGGGCTGGAAACGGATCACCTGGATGAGGGAACACACCAGAACAGCAAGAGCGTCGTCTGCAACAACAGCAATATTACGACCAGCAGGCTTCACAAGATCAGCACGCTCGTCCTCGACAGCACTGCATTCACAGCGCTGGTGGTGCCTTACGTGTCAATGGCCGCAAGGCGCAGTGGGCAGAGGTTGCTGAGAACGCAGCCTAGGCTGACCGCCCTGCCACGCGAGCAGATGGCATCACAAGGCTGGGTCCGAATCCGCCCCTGCTGGAAAGGAGTGAACATCTGGGACCCCGAAGTTTGAACGGTGACGTCCACCCACGTCCGAGGCCCCCGCAGGCCCCCCTCCAAGCCCCGCAGCACCTCCTTCTTGAGAAGCGTTTTCGCAAGGCACGACGAACACTCCGTGAGCTGAATAACCTGGCCCTGGTCCTTCAAACACGTGGCAACAGATGGCATGGTCCACGACACGCGCTCGCAACTCTTCCGAAGAGCAGACATGCGACCAGCAACATTACGCCACAGCGGGGTTCGCTGTCGAAACTCACAGACCACCGTTCCGGAAGCTCAGTATGAGGAACGCTGTGAGGATAGAGGCGCAGGTGTGAGATTCAGACCTCTTTGACCCACCACACGATGGGCGCCGCAGCGGCAAGCCAGCAGGGCGCCTGATGAGCCGACAACGAGGCCGTGGACTCCTCCCACGCGCCGAGGGTTTCAATCGTGGTCCGTGACCCTGTGGATGTCAGCCCCGAAGGTATTGGAGGCCATGGCGCCCGAGGAAACAACCATCCTAGTATCTCTGCTTCCACTGGTAGGCTTGATTCTACAAAGTCTGGCAACAACTCCCTTGGACTTTCGTTCCCGAGCCTTAGCCTTGGAGGAAAGACGTTTCCTCCTTCTAGATTTGCCCGCACCGTCGTCGACACCAATGTTGTCAGCAGAGCTAACTAATGGGCCACGCAGCCCACCAAGGCGACGACCAAGTTAGCGACTTAACTCCAGGGCAGAGCATATCGCATAACTTGATCAGGCTCACTAGAAACACAGGATCCGGCCCCCTCCTCCAGAGCCTTCGGTGAAGAGCCACAACACAGGGTGGACAGCGGATCAAACTATGTTCCTTGGACCCCGTGGCCGAGAGGACCGACTCATCAGTCTATAGTTCAACATGCACCTGAGGAGGGACACGCCACGCAGCTAGCGCCGACAAAGCGTCAGCACGGATGAGGCTCGTGGCAAAGCTGCAACCCGCCTCAATTCCCTGCCCAGCTCAAGACGGGCCATCGACAACCCCTGCCAGTCGAAACCATCTGGTCCGAAGATGCATCGACGATGCAACGTAAGCCGCCGCTAAAAGATATACACAGACACCCTCCACTGGATTGCTCCTGGGCCTCAGGACGGGCGGCGGTGTATGAATCATTACTGAGAGCCAGCGGCTTCATACACCGTCGCCTCTCTGAATGTAGATGTAAACCTCGTCGGAGGGTGTACGTGTACTTATCCTCGTGGCGTGAGCAGGAGCAAGAGGGAGTTCCAGGCGACCAGTCCGTCAAGTCGGCCGTCCCGTCGCACCCGCAGAGGCCGGGCAGCACCGCCGCCGCCACTCTTCTGGCCGCCACCCCGGATGCAACCCGCAGGGCCTGCCGGACCACACCCGAGAGGCCCCCCCGAGAGGCCCAGCGGCCACACGGGGCCGGGCAAGCTTGGCTTCCCAGCTCTGCCCTGAGACCCCGGCCTCTCAATTTTTTTCCGAGCTGGGCGTTCTCGTCTTTCCTCGGGCCCCCGGGGCCCTCGCAGGTCGATCCGGCTCGAGACCTGACGCAGAAAGATGTGGTCTGGGGCTCTGGGCGTGGCTTTTGCGATGCTGCATTTTTTTTTTGCAGCGTCGGATCTCAGGGTGGGCCAGGGGTCGGCGGAGGCAGCCGAAGGCTCGACAGACGGGGCACCAAATACTAATGGGTCAGAGTCAAGCCGGCGCCTTAGGAATCAACGAGAGCTACATCATGGCCAGCTGGCAGGGAACCACCGCCGTCTTTTCCATGATCCAGAAGCTCTGAGTAAGATCCTTCAGTAAACGATGAGTCAACATGTGAAACTGCCTAATATGGAACTCGTCCGTGGCCACCGACGTCTTCTTCTTCTTGGAAGCATGGGAGAAAGACTGAATGGTTTCAGAGCTCAATCGAAGGCAGCTCGGGAACCAATCCACCGTGCTCGAACCAAGTCGACGAGCTTCCATCACCCCAGAGGCTAGCGAACCGAATGCCCTCCGTCTGAAGGAGCGAGAGCGGATCACAAACCACCATGCCATCATCAGACAGCGTGGTGGATTGCTGCCACTCGGTACCATTCTCAGCAAACAGATACACTCTCCTCGTACCTCGATCCGACCGATGCATGAGCCAATCATGAAACTCCATCGACGCTTTCTTATGTTCCTCAGCTTGGACGACTGACAAATCATGACTCTTGAACCCATGGAGGAAACAGGCAAAGCACGCCTGCCCTGTCGCGCTACTTCCATGGTTTTGTACATCGGAAGGTCGGGGATGAAAGCCTCGAGCTGGCATATGAAGTGTGCGTGCTTTCCTGAGCACGAGACCGCCTGAGGAGGCGGCATCTGTACAGACACCAGGACTTGCTTGATGCCATGGTCGCAGCCCTCAGCTCGTTGGCCCTGGAAGTCGCCGAAGCCGTTGAACGGCCACTTGTGGCTTCCATCTCAGCCGAGGGGCTTTGCCCCCTTCCCCCCCCAGGAGGCAGGGTTGGAGGCTGGACCAGGCGCTGGACCACGCTCCGTGGAAGCTGGGGCCCTTGACATGGCCCTGCACGGAGGCGCGGCCCGCAATCACATTTTCTCTTTGATGCTCTCGCACAAATGTGCCGCTTGAGAAGCGCAGTCCTGAAGGCAAGCCTTCGCCTCCGGCGGCTTCGCCCCAACAGCGCTCACCGCGGTCATGAGGCCTCGGATGCCATGTTTGGACTACACCATTGCTTCAGATAGGACATCGGCAGGCACAGGTCCAAGACAGTCATCCTCCTCACGCCGCCGCAGCTCGCCCTCGCCCTCGCACCAGGGGGCAAGAGCGCGAGTGAGCTCTCAACGACCCGCCTGGCAGCAGCACGATGCTCCTCCAGACCCACGGGGCAGCCGCGCGTCCCCGTGGACCCCCTGGATGTTGGCGCGCAGTTCCGCCTCCGAGGCCTGGCCCAGGCAGGCCGTGGAGCTGCTCCCGGATCAGCGGCCCCTCCCTGCAGCTGGCAGGCCACCCTCCGCGGGTTGCTCCGCGGCTCCTCCCGCGCTCGGGGCACTCCCCGCTGCGGGGCGCAGGGCGCGGGGAATGACCGCCGCCAGCGCCTGAGCCCCGCGTCCCGCTCTGCTCGGCGCTGGTCCCGCCGCAGGCAGGGAGCTGGCCCAGTTCCTCCACGTTGCCCTCGAGGCCGGCGACCTGCGCCCCGAGCTCGGCCTTGCCCGGAGCCCCGCCGACCCTCGCCGTGAGCTCCTGCAGCTGGGCACTGGGCGCCGCCACCTCCCTCTAGTGGCTGGCCACATCCGCTTTGGCCTCAAGCAGATGCTCCTCCAACTTCTTGATCTGCTGCTTCTTACTCTCAACGGTCTCGCGAATGGCGGTGACCTTCTTCTCGCCCAGTTCGACCCTGTGCGACATGGTCTGCAGCTGCGCGTGCACGGGCGGCGACGCCTGCAGGCACGTGTGCAGCTCGTCCTTCTCCCGCTTAAGCGCGTCCAGGAAGGTGCGGAGTTTGGCGTTGGCGCTGGTGGACGTCACCAGCAACTTCACTTGTTCCTCGTTCTCCTTGATCCTCTTGCGGCAGTCGACCTTCTCCATCTTGGGGCCCTCGGGAGTCCCATCAGCGCCCGCGCAAAGGCCGCCCCCGCCGTCGACGTCCATCGCCGCTGCCTGGGGAGCATTTCTGGAGGTCGAGATCGCCGCCTTGAGCCCGAAAACACCTCCGACTCGCGCTCGTAGATGCTCGCCTTCGCTGCCACCTCCTCCTTACCTTTGCCCAGGGAGGCGCATCGCGTACACTGTGGGACGGCTCTTTCGGCTCGACGTGCGCCTTGAAGCAGGCCGCATTCCACAGCTTGCGCAGCACGCACTTGGTAGCCCCTGGAGCATTCCACCATGGGGCGCCCATCCTTTCGTTGACGCACCACTCGCAGGTCCAGCGCCGCGTCTGTCCCGCACGCGCTGCGGCGCCATTGCGAACCCTGCGGGCTGCGAGCTGGGACTCGAAAGTGTGAAAGCTGGCCGCGGATCAGCGGTATCAACTTGTTTCCCTATTGAAATTTGTATCTGGAGCCCAAATAGCTACTGCGTGGTGAGGACGAAAACGAGGCGGAGGAGACGGAGGAGAAGGAACATGGTGAGGAGGATGGGGAGGGCCGTATGGAACTCTGGGGATGGGGTCTCCCGTATTGAAGAGGCAGCACTTTATGCGCCTAGTTCATGTTCACAAGTGTTTCTGTAGCCATACGTGGCTTGAAATTGGTATGTTGCGCTGTTCGGTATCGCTCGTATTCTGGCCAACCCGCCTGACGTCTTTGAATGATATTGGCATGGGGAACATCAGCCCTGAGTCTGATTTCATGCCTGTTGCCACTGATATTTTGATGACCGTGTATTTTCAAGTGTGGGCCAAGACTTGGACATGCTCTGCGTTATTGTTGGTCGTTCATTGAGTTGGTTGCCATCTTTGCAGCTGTTTCTTGTAAGCAGCTGCTTTTGCCAGATGAAGCTTCTGGAGCCAGTGTGCTTTGGTTTTTTGGCCGTCATCATTTGTAATACTCGTTGTTGGCCACACTTTCTGGATCATGACCTTTCGTGTGAGTCTTTTTGTTTCGGCCAAGCCCTTTGCGTGCGAGAGTTTTGCGTGCGAGTCTTTCCGTTTCGGCCAGGCCCTTTTTAAGGGGCCATTTTTACGATACTCAGCAGTATGTCGTCAGCCACCAACAGCGTTGCGGAATCAGGCAGTGAGGCAAGCTCCCCAGAACAGGCGAAATAAGCAGCCCATTGAACGCAGGATATCCCGCAGGAATTTGCGTACATCCTGATGCTCCTCCTCGTCAGGTCGACATTTCATCGTATCAGCACTGGCAGGCAGACCCGCTGACGACACAGGCAAGTGTCTTGATACATCTCATGTCCTAGGTTCTGCCGCCATGTGCGAGCAGAGTGTTCAAATCTGCGGGCAAGGGTTTCTGCGAGACCAGCAGGCATAGAAGCCACCTCGGAGGGAGTGAAGGGGGGGGGCGGGGGAGTGTCCACTGATTGTTTCCTTCTACTGTGGCTCCATCGTAACTCCTCCGAGTAGGGGAACGAAAAATGGCATAAACCTGGACCACGACTGGCCAGTGACTGACTGTTCTAGCGCGTGGACCACGTGGGCGCTGCACTGCTCCCGCTGCCGCGCGCTGCTGGAGCAAGAGGACTGCGTCTCCAGCGTCGACCTTGACATGGCGGAGCGGGGTGAGCTGCGCGAGCAAGACCAAGACCTGATCTGCTGCGCCCCGGGCAGGCAGCCAGAGGGCGCCTGGTGTGCGCGCGTGGTTCCGAGGGGTCCGCCTGGAGTGGCGTGGACTGAGCTGGGCGCGGCCGATGACCGCCCAGAGGACTCGGTGGACTTCGCCGCACTCGGGGACGTCAACGAGGAGGGCGCCTGGTGTGGACCACGTGGGCGCTGCACTGCACTGCGCTGCCGCGCGCACTGCCGCTGCCCTCCTGCGCGGCAGCGCGGCGCAGCACCACGCGCAGCACACGGCGCTTCGCCGAGCACTCCAATGCGCTCTCTCCGCTTCCGCGTGCCGGGCCCCGCGCCTCCCTCGGCTTAACGTCGGGCATGCCCCCCTCAAAAAGTAGTTTGGGGTCGATATTTCGATTCTTTTTAAGTAAGTTGTCAAAAAGTTGTTTGGGGACGATGTTTCGACTATTCTTGATTATTTTGGGGCTATGGTTGATGTTTCTTCGGAAATCCGCCTGTAGGAGGACATGCCTGACCTGACCCTCGGCCTCACGAGTGCTGGGCCTCCGGGGGTCCGCCCAATGGCCCCAGGGCCCACGAGAACCAACCCACGGCGAGCGGCTCAAGTGCGACCGTACCTGCCGAGGCCCGCGAGTCCCGCCAGGGCAGGCTCGCGCCGCGTGGACGAGGCGCTGACCCCAGCGCGGGCGCTTGAGGTTGCACGCCGCTGGTGGCCTGGAACCGGCCGATCTCGACCGAGCTGCGCTTGTCAGGAAGGCGCGATCGGCCGATCCTCGCGGCGTCAGAAGCCAGCGCCGATGCCACCGCGGCGTGTGCCTGCCGCACTTCGGCCCGGCGCCCACACGGCCCAGCACATGGCGGCGCCAGACGGCATCGGGCTGCTCTTCGAGCAGCTGGCGCTCCTGGGCCCGCCACCCGCTCGCCGCGGCCTCGGCGCCGAGTGCCTGCAGGACGACATCGACCTCCTCTTCGAGCAGCTCGCCGCCTCTGGCCCGCCGTCCACCCGCCGCGGGCCCGCCGCGGGCCTGGGCGCCGTGCGCGCGCTGGCGCTGGCGCCGAGCCCGAGCGCCAGCGCCTGCACGGGCGCCGCGCAGCTGCTGGAGATGATGGGCCAATTTTCCACCACCACTACCAGATGTAACATGGGGGAGAAGTGAGGATGGGAAGGTCGTCGTCGTCGTCCTCCTCCTCCTCCTCCTCCTCCTCCTCCTTCTCCTCGTCCTCCTCCTCCTCCTCCTCCTCCTCCTCCTCCTTCTCGTCCTCCTCCTCCTCCTCTCCTCCTCCCTCCCTCTCCTCCTCCTCCTCCCTCCCTCCTCCCTCCTCCTCCTCCTCCTCCCTCCTCCCTCCTCCTCCTCCTCCTCCTCCTCCTCCTCCTCCCTCTCCTGCCCATAGCAGTGGTGTTGGTGGAGAATGGGGCCCTCAGGAGAAGCTCCACTCCGACCCTCCTGGGCGGGCTGGCCCGCCCGGCGGCGCCGGCTCGGCCCGCGAGAGGGACCAGGGCCCGCCCTGTGCGGCCTCCTGCGACCTGGAGCGCGGGCCTGGCCCAGCGTCGGGCGGGTGCGGCGGCGCGGCCTCGCTGGGGGTGGGCGCGCCGGGCTCCGCGGAGGCGGTGCGGCCCCGCGCGTGCCCAGACTGGCCGCGCTGGACGCTCCAGGACGTGGAGACGGCGAGCGACAGCGAGCTCTCCCCGCTGCTGGAGCAGGAGGACTCTGTCTCCAGCGTGGACCTCGACATGGCAGAGCGGGGCCGGGACGTGGACACGGCGAGCGACAGCGAGCTGTGCCCGCTGCTGGAGCAAGAGGACTGCGTCTCCAGCGTCGACCTTGACATGGCGGAGCGGGGTGAGCTGCGCGAGCAAGACCAAGACCTGATCTGCTGCGCCCCGGGCAGGCAGCCAGAGAGCGCCTGGTGTGCGCGCGTGGCTCCGAGGGGTCCGCCTCGAGTGGCGTGGACTGAGCTGGGCGCGGCCGATGACCGCCCAGAGGACTCGGTGGACTTCGCCGCACTCGGGGACGTCAACGAGGAGGGAGGCGACGCACGGAGCCCACTGCCGCTCAAAGCGACCAGCACAGGCTGGCCGATTGGTACACGTGAGCACGCGGACATCGTGGGCAAGCAGGACGACACCTGGGCGCAGCCCTGCCAGGGATCGATCGCGCCTGGCGGCGCTGCAGACCTCGACGCCGCAGAGCAGGGCAGGGCCTTCTCGCGTTCTGGCGTGGCCACGCTCCAGCGCGTAGACGTGCCCGTCGGCATCCGGCCAGGTGCGACTGCGGACCGTGAAGGTGTTTCAGCCGCGAGCGAGCTTCGGTGCGGCATGCAGGCCGCTGCAGGCGACAGTCAGGGTGGCAGCCCAGCGGAAGATACCCTTGAACAGCCGGGGCCCTCGCTGGAGCACCGCCTCTGGATCGTCGAGCAGAAGCTCGACCTGCTGCTGGCCATCTCGGGGCGGCGCGCCAGGCAGCGGCGCCGCGTCGCCGAGGAGCGGGAGGGCAGCAGCGCCGCGAGGGCTCGCACGGCTCGGGTTCGGCGCTCGCTCCACTGCCCGCCCGAGCGCCGCGACACGGCCTCTGCCAGGCTCGTGCAGGTGGCGCGGCGAGTGCGTGGCAAGCACTCTGCCGCTGGGCGCGAGGCTGCCGCGGCGCTCGCGGACCTGGCTGCCGCGCTGGGCACGGTGGCGCCAGGGCGCGGCGCGGCAAGGGACGCGGCCACCAGCCCCGACGGGCCTGCAGAAGACGACGGCGCCTGCCAGCCCCAAGCGTGCCTGGGCGCGGACGCCCCTGTCGCGCCAGCAGCGGCGCCCACGACTGCGGCGGGGCGGGGGGGCACGGCACTTCTGGCCGGGGCGGAGCCAGGCCCCGCCGCAATGGCGGCGCCCGCCCCCGCGGCGCCGGATCCCGCGGGGCTCCCGGCGGCGCCCGGCGCCGCCGCGGCGGGGCCGGAGGACACTGCGCCTCTGGCGGGGGCCGAGCCTGGCCCCGCAGCGGCGGCGCCCGCGCCCGCGGCGCCGCAGCCCGCGGCGCTCCCGGCGGGGGCCTCGCCCGGCGCGGGAGCGGCGCGGCCGCCCGACGCCGCCGCGCCGCGGGCGGCCCCGAGGCCCGAGGACGTGGTGCTCAAGGTCCGCTGGGCCCGCGAGACCGTGCGGCTGCGCGTGCCCACCCTGGAGCTGCCCAGCGTCCGCAGCGCGGTCCTCGGCGCCGCCGGCGTGGACGGCGCGTCGCACGTGCTGTCGGCCGCGGGCGGCGACGGCGAGGCGCTCCCCTCGGAGCCCGAGGCGCGCGCCGAGCTCACCGAGGCCTCCTGGTCGGGCCTGCTGCGGAGCGCGGCGGCGAGCCGCCCCGGAGCCTCGGGCGCAGCAGCCCGGCCGCCAGTGGTGGTGCGCCTGGAGCTGCGGCGGGCCGCGGCGGCGCACGCAACGAGGTGGCACGCGTGAGGGAAAGAAACACAGAGACACAAGCAGTCGTCGATTCCCAGGAAAATATATGTGAACATAGGAACGTGGGGGCGCAAACGGACATCGAGAAACTATTGGAAAGTAGGAGGGATCTTGGCATTTGTGAATGGGAAAGTATGAGGAATCTGGGCATTTGTGAATATTTAGGTGTGCGTCCTTGGGCCCCTTCCAAGAAGTCGGAGGAGGCAGAGGCACCTCGACCACAACAACAAACGACACCACCCCACTTGCGGCCCTCCATGTTGCACTACGGCCCATCGGGGGCCGTAATCAACCAGCGTACACCACGCAAGAGCCCATGCCAGATGTGGTGGTGTACGCTGAGCCCCATGGGGCCGTAGGTGGGCTGGTGTCATTTGTTGTCTGGTCCAGTACCGATGCCGCTGTCCTTCCGTCGTCTTCGCTTTTTTGGGCCTCCTGTCAGGCCCTCGTCGCCACGGCTGAACTCGCCTCGAACGTCTGGTCAGAACGCACCCCAGGAGAGGTCCGCGGAGTACGTAGCGGTGCCAGTATTTTTCTGGTCGTCCCATGAAGCAGGGAGGGCTTCTCGGAAATCCTGCGGCCTTTGAGGAGCCTTCCCTGAAGCCTCCGAGCCCTTCTACGTGGCCCGCTGCCTTCTTAGAAGGCCACCGCCCTCGCCCTCCTCCCCCCTT